GCGGCGCTTACGCGGTTTGATATTTCGTCTTTATGCAGTTAAAGCAGTACGATTGCTTTGAAAAAAAGTTTAGATCTTTCAAATATGTCAAAATAAAGAAAACATTTTTTTTCAAAAAAAAAAAATAAAAAAAAAAATAAGAAAAATTTTTTTTTTCAAAAAAAGTATTTTTTGTCTAATTGTTTGTCAAAAATCTATTTTTTCGAAGTAAATTTTTTTCAAAAATGTTAATCGTTTTTAAAAAAATAATAATTTTTGGTACGGGAAGTTCCAGCAATTTGCCTTAAGGCACGATGCCTTAATTGCCTTAAGACAGAATTCCACTTACAGCTAGTTGTATTTTTTTAAACAAACCTGTGCGTGCGTGACATTATCGAGTTCTGTCATAACCGGAGCTCCTGTATTTTCTGGTACGGTTGTGTTGGTACCTCTACTATTGGCCACTGGTGGCACTGGCGTCGCTGTTGAAGATATTACCAATTTTTAATTAAATTAAATAAGTACAAAATAATAACTAAATACATTGAACTACGTCTATAATTTTAGCTACTAGTATTTTTTTAGAACAATGCCTAATTTATCTACACAAATCACCATTTGCGGGCTAAATGTTAATACCAGAAAAAGCCTGGAATTGCATTATATACAATCAGACTATTATTCCATTATATAATATTTTCAACAAGCAAATACCATTAATTTGTAAAAGTGTAGCTAGTTTTATATGAGTGAGTATATATTCGAAAAAAATGATATGTTTAGTTATGGGGTCCAGCGGTGGCAAAATCGATTCGGACCTGGGCTAGCACCAACTAGTCGCGGGTTCGATTCCCGCCACCGTCAAAGCTACACATCAGGCAGCTTTGATGTCAAATTTCTACTTGAGGTTATTGATTTCAATATAATTTCAAGTGAAAATCGCTTTTCGCGGGAATAACTGCAAAATTTAATCATATGATAACTAATAGACGTAAGAGCTAATATAAACCCCACACATAGGAGAATAGTAAACCGATGGGTTGCCCCTCATGAAACATTTAGATTAAAGTCTTCAACAAAATAGATGTTAGGACATGTAAGATTAAATAATTCTGATTGCTGTTAGAACAATAAATAAAAATAATTATCTCCGTATGAACACTATATTAAAAAATGAAACAACTCAACTATAACTATTATCATAGATAAACAAGTGACTATTATATATTAATGAATACATTGGTGTAACCGTGTCTTATTATTAAACAATTTAAATAGTTAATGTTTTATCTTCTTTTTCAACCAGTTTACTGTCCAATATGTAACTCCAATGAATATATAATCTAGATAATTCCAAAAAATATCATTATGCCATTAGTATGTAATTAGTAAATGAAAAGGATGTGAAATGATATTTTTATAAAGAACTTAACCGAGAAAATAAGTATACAAGTAGATTCTGAACATTTTCTCAAAGATTTTATTACGATCATCAATCTTATTTAATAACATAAATAATATTTCATAATATAGCATACGTGATCTACGGAATCTGTGGTTTAGTCCCAACCACACCGTCAAAACGTACAAAACAGGAACCATTGTTATTAATAATGTTAGTACCATAACGGTTCTTTACTCTCTCATAAGAAAAATACTTAAAAATTGATGTAACAAGTTTAAAAAAATATAATAAACATTATAAAAATCTACAACATAAAAATATATATATTAAAAATATTTCATATATTATCAAACGTCACATATGACAACAAAAACACGAATTTTAAATAATAATTAAAAACAGAAAATTGTACAAGTATATACAACTATGTATAATCAATCGAATCAAATATTTCATGAGAGTATATATGATTAATTAATAAATTATGTTTACAAATATCTGAAATGATTATGTTATTATAAATGAATATTTTCTTGTATACAACGATCGATAAATTTTATTCATATATTTAAACTGCAAATATATTCAGTAAAGTCTAAGGTGACCCACAGATGGCAACACTATATTTCTTCACACAAATGTCAAGCTGTCAAAAATCACGTGTTGGCAGCATGTATTAGCTGTCAAACGCACCGCATGCGACTAACGCAACTGATATTAACAGACTCGAATTTCAAATTTGATAAAAATTAATACGCATTTCGGAACCAGGGATGAACAACCTGAATGATAATGGAGTGATATTATAAAATTATGTACCATTAAATACCGTCACTTGTCGTGAATAGTAACATACTCGAATTTAAAATTTATTAAATATATAATACGCATTTCTAAATCAGGGGTAAACAACCTAAATGATAATGGAATGATATAAAATTATGTACATTAAATACCGTTGCTTGTTAGTGAATATTAACAATCGAATTTAAAATTTATTAAAAATATATTGCAAATTTCGAAATCAGGGGTAAACAACCTAAACGATAATGGAATGATATTATAAAATTATGTGCCATTAAAAATATTATAAAACTTTGTACCAGGAAATATCGTCGCTTGTAGTGAATATTAACAGACTTGAATTTAAAATTTATTAAAAATATAATATGCATTTCCAAATCAGGGGTAAATAACCTAAATAATAATCAAATGATATACAATTATGTAGCATTAAATATCGTCGCTTGTGATAAATAGTAACAGACTCAAATTTAAAATTTATTAAAAATAGAATACGTATTTCCTAATCAGAGGTAAACAACCTAAATGATAATGGAATGTATTATAAAAGTATGTATCATTAAATACCATGTGGTGAATAGTAACATTTCCAAATAACAATTGAAACTTTATTAAAAATATGGTGAGTGAATTATGAAATTTTAATGGATATAATAGAATCCATTATATAAATTGTACACACACGCACATAATGCATATTAAAATGTTATATCTATAATTTTACACACTCCAATATTTTAAACCAAGCTTTTTTAATCAAATACTATTTTTTGGACTAATATAAAGTGTCTGGCGTATAGCTCTGTACGGATCAGAGACATGGTCTCTAAGAAAAGCCGACAAAAACTTTCTGGAGAGAAAATGTGGTGCTGGAGACGAATGCAGAAGATGGACATATAACAGTTGAAGAAGCGCTGAGAAAAGTAAGCAAAGTGAAAGAGCACGATCAATAAAAGTAAAGGAAACTGGATCGGATCCATTCTGCCAAAAAGCCTCATATACAATGTCGTCGAAGGTAAAATAAAAGGACTAAAAAAGTTGGAAAGAAGAAGAATGCAGATGGTTGATGACTCACGCGAGAAAAAAAAAATACAGGGAACTGAAAGCGGAAGCTCAAGACGAGAAAGCATGGAAGCAGAAGTTTGGAAAGGAAAATTCATAAGAATGAATAAAAAGTAATTGATGGTAATGGCGATGGAAATAATAAACAAGGGAGGGAAAAAGAATCATTGATTTATGGTGCTCTCATACCATGGACCTGCCTGCTGGCAGACCACTATTTGTTATTATTTATGTTAATTTTTACACATGTCCTGAAATGGACAACAAGTCAAACTTTGGAAACTTCTAAAATCTTTTTAGTACTTAAATATATATATACCTTGGAGTAACTTTGATGTTGAGATATATGGGTGGGCTCTTCTAAAGCGGTACATCAAATAAAAGACAAAGATTTATAAATCAATCATAAATTTTTCCTAACGTTTGACTTAAAATTTCTGTCACCCCATTATGGGTCTTACATCAATAGATGTACACAAAACATATAATTTAGCACTGCTAATTATACACTAACTTGTCTGTGACAAAGATAATTTTTATTATTTTAAGTGACGTTGTACGATAAAAAAAATATTAACTGAATGAATAATTTAAAAAGATAAAATTTTCTGACCATCGTCAAATATTTTGAAAAATTGACATATGTTAATGTATCATAAATTACATTAAATATTTGTTGTTAATAAACTTAAAAACTTTCAAAGTATACTCCCTAATAAAAGTTACTCTTACCTTATAAAGAATAATAAATAAGAAATGAAAATGAATTCACTGTCCAGTTATTAAGTAACGCGGATATATACTAGTGTATATACATGTGTATATAATATATATATATATATATATATTAGGGTGGTCCTTAAAAATGTCATTTTCGAATTTCCTTGCTCCCAGGGGCTCAAATGGTTCCAAATTGATAAAAAACAATTGTCTGAAAGTTTTAGCTCTTAATATTAACGTTTAGATAGAGCGCAATTCAATCAAAGTTTGTATGGAAAGAGCATGAAAAAATTTTTGAAAATTAAAAAAAAATGTTTTAGGTATAACTTAGCGACAAATGAATGAGTTTTATGCATTAATCTGTTCGCTAAAATACATCTAAAAAGCATTTTTAAAATTTTTGAAAATTTTTCCATGCTATTTCCATACAAAACTTTGATTGAATTGCGCTCTATCTAAACGTTAATATTAAGAGCTAAAACTTTCAGACAATTGTTTTTTATCTATTTGGAACCATTTGAGCCCCTGGGAGCAAGGAAATTCGAAAATGACCATTTTAAGGACCACCCTATATATATATATATATATATATATATATATATATATATATATATATTAATATTGTTTATCTACAAATTATTCGAAATCTAGAATCAAATTTATCAGACTATGACAACAGCTGATGATAATGAAACATGCATACATGTATATCCATGGTGTGATAAGAATGATTGCAAAATATGTACATACTCAGAATATTTTTGCCAAATCGAAAAATTATGTTTTAAGCTGCTATTGAACCTAACTGACCTTTTCCGCTGTTTTCATATGTTACGATATTTTCATCATTTCTTAAATAATATTCAATCATGCAAAGCGTTGTTTGTTTTACAATAAATGATTAAAATTGCAAATTTTGAAATGGTACAGATAAAGATGATAACATCTTCAGAATAATTCAGGATTAAAATGACGAAATTTATAATAATAGATAGATACATATATAATTTGCAATATAGAGATAGATTCACAAAAACTTAGCAGTGTATGTATTACTTAGTTTTTTAAATGTTATTTAACAGCAAACAGAACTTAACTAGTTTTATGAGCTGTTGTGCTGATTTATAGACTGATTATCGTGGCTTTATTGATAGCAACCCAAACGGTTTTCCTATCTCTCTGATAAGTTCATTATTACGGTTTATGTGATGCCAGGGAAAGGCTATTTTCACCTAAGAACGTCTTTCCATCTAAATTTTGAAGTGAAAACCAATGCCAAGCTGTCGAAAGGAGGGTATCGAACCAAGAACCTCTGAATGGTCCATAGCTTTAACCACTATATTAGCTTTAACCATGTAATGTATATTATAATATACTATGTTTACTGTGTGTGCAATAAATATGCTTAGAAAATAAAGTATGAGATATGAGTAAAAATATATGCGACAATGTAACATACACAGTGTATGATAAACGTATAAATCGGTGATA